GTTGAACCATTTGGTTAATTTTATTCACAACATGATATTATTCACGAAGTAACACCACCATATACTCCTCAATCAAATGGAGTAGCTAAACGAAAAAATTAAACTCTAAAAGAAATTATGAATGTCTTGTTAAAAAGCTTTGGGTTATCACAGAACATGTGGGGGAAGATGTCCTTTCAACAAATTACCTTCTAAATAAGGTACACTAGAAAAAAAAGGACAAGACACCATACGAATTATGGAAAGGTCGAAAACCTTCATACAAACATTTGAAAATGTGGGGGTGTCTTGCCAAGGTAATGGCCACATTACCAAAGCAAATTAAAATAGGTCTTAAGACTGTGGATTTCATTTTCATTGGCTATGCAGAACATAGCAATGCGTGTCGATTTCTTGTGTATGAATCAAAGAATCCTGAGATTCACAATAACACGATAATGGAGTTAAAGAATCCATCATTCTTTGAAAATGTTTTCCCTTATAAATCTAGGGAGGTTTATCAAAGTTCAATAAAACGAAATTTAGAGAATAATGATGAAACAGCCTAAATGATCAATAGGAAGCTGAAACTAAAATTGAGTTAAGAATGAGCAAACAAGAAAGGGTAGAAAAATCCTTTAGACCAGACTTCCTAACCTTTATGTTGGAGGCTGAACCTCAAACGTATAGTAAAGCTATACAATATTCTAAAGGCACCTTATGGTAGGAAGCCATTAAAAAGCGAAATAAATTCCATCATGTGGAACCATACACGGGAATTAGTGGATCTTCCTCCGAGATTAAACCACTAAATTCTAAATGGATTTTCAAACAGAAAATGAAGGAAAATGTAACAATTGATAAGTATAAGGCTAGATTAGTAATAAAAAATATCAATAAAAGGAATACCTAGACTATGATACACACTCTCCTATATCAAGAATAACATCAATAAGAATGATACTCACAATTGCCGCTTTGCGAAATCTAGAAGTACTTTAAATGGATGTTAAAACAACTTTCCTAAATGGAGACCTTAACGAAGAAATATACATAGAACAATCTGAGGGTCATGTAATTTTAGGTCAAGAAAGGAAAATATGTAGGTTGGTAAAGTCTTTGTTTGGGCTTAAACAAGCACCAAAACAATGGCATGAGAAGATCGATGGTGTCATGATGGAAAAATACTTCAAGATAAACGAATGTGACAAGTGTGTATATGTCAAAACTACAAACATTGGATATATCATTATATGTTTGTATGTAGATGGTATACTCGTTGTTGGGAGTAACAATGAGATGGTAAAATGTACCAAAAACATGTTAAATTCAAGATTTGACATGAAAGATATGTGATTGGCTGATACAATTCAGGGTATCCAAATTAAAAGATCATCTGAAAGCCTTGTACTAACTCAATGATACTATGTGGATAAGATTCATGAAAATTTTAACATGGATGATTCTGGTATATCCATAAATCTAATAGACTCTTGTTCACATCTATCTAAAAATCAAGGTGAAAATGTTCACTATGTGAAATATGCAAGGGTCATGGGCAACCTAATGTATCTTATGAGATGTATTAGACCAGACATCGCTTTCAAGGTGAGCAGTTTAAGCAGATTCACGAGCAATCCAGGGGAAAATCACTGAAAAGAAATAACAATGATACTGAGATATCTTAGATATACTCGAGATTATGGGTTGCATTATTCCAGAGATATTGTTGTTTTAAAATGACACTTCAATACTAGTTGGATATTGATATTCAAGATACCAAAGGTACAAGTGGATATGTATTCACTTTAGGAGGATTGATGTCTTGGAAATCCTCAAGACAAACGGTTATAACTAGATCTACAATGAAATCTGAGTATGTAGTTCTAGAAAAATCTAGAGAAGAAACTGAATGGTTTCAGAACTTTATTGAAGATATTCCAGAATTGTCGAAACATGTGCCCATGATATGCATATATTGTGACAACCAAGCAATAATTGCTAGAGCATAGAATTTCATATATAATGGTAAATCGAGACATATGCGTCGTCGACATAATACCATTAGACAACTGATCTCAAATGGAGTTATCTCAATTAATTTTGTAAGATCAAATGATAACATCGCAGATCCGTTAACCAAATGGTTAAATCGAGATCAAGTTGAGAAAACATCTAAATGAATGAGACTAAAGCCCATGAAACTTAAAGGTGTTATGTGAAGGAAAATCATACCTAGTTGACTGGAGATCCCAAGATCCAGGTTCAAAGGGAAAACCTAATTGCATAAACCGTATACGGTCACTGTAGGGGTCTCTGATCTCAAGCCTATTCCTATGATGTAAATAGTGATCAAGGTGATATAGGATAAACAAAACTTTTAATGACCATTATGTGCTTCGGTGAGCCGAACAATATAAGTCACATATGTGAGAGTGAAGTGGGGTCGTTTCAAGGAGACTATTGGGCATAATTCTTTCAAACTCTTGCAGAACAAGGTGATGTTCATGGCTTTAAGGACATACCCATGAGAGCTAAATTCTTGTCATATGGGTAGTTGTGTGAAATAAGTCATCGTTTACACAAACGACAGAATATTCAAGGACATCACGTCTACTCGTTAGCCAGTAAAGTAAATATATTGTCACAAGGAAAGGTTTAAAGAGGGACACCTACCTATCCTATGTAACTATCAATCTTAGAGTCTATCACCACATTGTATCAAAATGATTTGATAAAATTATCAATTTCATTCATGTGGGTGATTGTTGAAAAAATGGTGAATTTATTGATGGATTTAATATTTAAATTAAATTAATATTCCTTTTAAATATTACAAATTAAGAAATATTCTTTTATTTGAATATTTGTAGGATAATTACTCTTTTAAATATGTCAAATTAATAGGTATTTATTATCTATTTAACTTTGAATATTAAAAGATAATTATATACTTTGAATATTTCAAATTAAAATAATATCTAGTTAAATTTAAATAATAAAAGAAGTTTAAATATTTTAAATTAAAAGATAATATTATATGTTTAAATTTTAATAATAAAAGATATTTAGTTTGATTAAATCTCTCCTAAAAATTTCCTATAAATAAAGAGTTAATCTTCCAGGTTTTAAAACATCTCAGAATTCAAGAATTTCATAAATCTTGAAAAATTCTTTTTCTCTCCTTAGTTTTCCGGTAATAGCAAAGTCAAGAAGTGGCCGAAAATTTGTCTTAAGGAAACTGTATAACAGTAGGCCTCAATTGTTTCGATCAATTGATCTATTAAACGAGTATTTTTTATTTTTATATTATTTTATTTATTATTTAAAAAAGTTAACTTCCTTTTTATTTTATTTTATCAGGTTCGATTTCATCTCAGATTGTTATTTTGAATAACAATTTTGTTATTCTGGAAGATAAAGCTCCGAGATGATGAGTTTAAATCCCTAAATCAACCTGGCTCATATCCAAGACGATGTTTTGGATGATAGGAAGGGGAGGTAAGAGAGAGTGGAATAGTAAGGGCTGGGCGGTATACTCTACCGCTGCCTGCTCCAACAGCAATATCTCAACCAATTGAAAATGCTGCATCAGCCATCAATGCTAATCACAGTGGTGAAAATATGGATAGACCCTAAGCCAAAGGATAGGTAAAATCTCGTATTCATTTGTTTTTAGGGTCCTACTGCACTCTTATAGTTTAATTTCCATTGCAGTAAGTGAAGGAATTACTTTTGCTGACGTCGAGTATATCCCCAAAATGCCTATTCAAGCCCACGAGGGTCTCAGTTCCCATCCAAATGAACTGGAATACGTGTCATACACGTGGCAGTTCATTACTTTTGCCTTCAACTTGTCTATAAATACTTTGGTGTATGGAATACGGATAATGACAATAGTTTATGCAACAGTGAAGCTTTGGTTAGATGTAGCCTTTATCTGCATTTGCACCTGCACCTTGTTGTTTTTATTTGGTTCAGCTTCACAGATGTGTTTGTGGTAAGTGAATGCCATTTTGGCTTCCGCAACTCCTTGGCTTCCAGTGCGTGATTATAAAGGGTCAAAAGGGCCAGCTTTCAGCATTCGAGATACATCAGTTAGCTCTACTATGATCCTAGTTGCGAATGAAGCTGTCTTTCATGCGGTTCCGTTACACATCTTCAACGTAACAACAATATTCTCCATAGGTTACTTTTGATTTTTTGTTTAACATAGATTAAGGAAGAAATGTTGGTTTCATAATTAAAGAGTAACTTAAGATTGGGATATAATATACATTGATTCACTAATAAGATTGGAATATAAATTATCTTATTAGGATTCAGTAATTGATCAGTCTCTCCCATCTTCTTATGTTGAGAAAACTTTGATCATTCTTTTTCTACAGCCACATAATTATAAACTGCCGAAATGCGGTGCATGGGGCTACCATCAAATAGGTCTTAAATTGGCATGATAACGAGTAAAGACAGGTACAAAATATTCTTTTATCTTGGGCTAAAATATTAACAATTTTGTTTATTCAATTGTGGACTGGAGAATGGAAAGCTGTGAAATCCGGTGCAAGTCAAGAACCCTATACAAGTCCTTGATAGGCATAACCCAGAATTCATTTATTTATTTTGGTACGGCATATGATAGTTAAATAAGCATGTAAAGCTGTATATGAAGGCCAACTCCCATGCTTGATCAAACTTAAACCTCGCTGCATTTTAGAGAATTTTTTTCAAAGTTAAGCTTTAAACATTTTGCATTAGGTAGTGGTAGACATATATAGGGGCATGAAAGACGAGAATAATTACGAATCTGTTGGAAGTAATGAATCAACTTGGTTTTTTTTCCTGACACAACATAATAGCTTATTTGATGATATGCATGAACTTAATTACGAATGCTATACACCCTTGTACTTGTTAATGATGATGTTCTTGTTCTCACGTTGAACTGGTATATTCAGCAAAAGCAGAAGCTATTTGAACTACTCATGTTTAGACACTGCATCTTATATTACGCTACGTGGAATAATTAACATCGTTCTCCAAATATAGAAAAAGAAATTAAAAACAAATATACGTGTAGTAAACACATATTCATATTTGTTACTATGCCAAATTAACATAAGCTTTAATTTATGAGTATCATGTTCCAGGCGAGCATCTAAATACCTTTTTGGGTTGATCTGCATTACCATTTAATTTCAGATCTTGGATCCTACCTTCTCAATAAGTTGTCTTCTCAGGATCTTCCCCGAAACCGACTTTGGGACACTGTTAATGAATGTCACCCTCCGTAATCTTTTGAAAGGCGCCACCTGCAGAGGAGGGAATAAAATCATCAGTTGAAACAATCATTAAAAAAAAACTTGAAGAAAACAGCCATCATTCATACCATACCTGTTCAGCGGTAAAAATTTTAACATCTTCTTCTGTTAGGCAACTGTTGGGTGAACGCACTACGTATGCAATTGGGACCTCCCCAGCTTCAGCATCAGGATACCTGCAGTGTGGTAACGTCTTTACTATCAACCATGTCTTTTCAAAGCAAAGTTTCAAGATACAAAATCCAAATAGGGGGAGGAATTTTTGGGCTTACGGGATGACAACCGCATCCAATATTTCAGGGTGAGATACAAGTAGACCTTCGAGCTCTGCTGGTGCAATCTGGTGTGTGTTTTATGAAGCAAATGAAAATGGTTTTAGTTTTTACAAGGAAAACCATTGAATCTTGATCATCAGCTTGGTCAATGCAACACATTTATTGCAAGTTAAGACCATATTAAATGAACAATAATTGTTAAAATTCATTAAGCCTAAAATCAACAGGCAATGGACCCATATAGGCTTTTGCATTATGGCAATATTTATGAGGTCAGGATGCCGAAACCCAACTGATGTAGCATTTTTATAATCACCATTTCGATAATAATCTTGTTTCATGATTCACAGGGATAACCATCATCAACTGCATTCTAGGAAACTCAGCCAATGAAGATATATATATATATACACACACCAATGAATGCCATTATTTTCTATTAAAATTGTCTCCAAAGCAATAGAATATAACTAACTAAGCCTACTCTTGCATGCATAAACCATATAATATTATCTGTTGTACATTATTGTTCGTGAAAATTGAGTAATCTTTCTTTCCAACGGAACTTTTATTTGATAGAATATGCAAAGTGATATACTAAGAATGAAATAAGTTACCTGGAAACCTTTGTACTTAATCAACTCCTTAATTCTGTCGACAACATACAGATTCCCATCCTCATCAAAGTATCCAAGATCTCCTGTATGTACCCAACCCTTTCCATCTATTGTGAGTTTTGTTGCTTGTGGATTGTTGAAGTAACCTGAAAATGGTTATTCAAATTGCAGTGTCACAGAAAACAACATACAAACTCACCTAAAGTTATTCAACACTTGTACCAGGCTGACAAACAGTTTGCACATACATAAAATTTAACCATATCAAATCAAATTCTTAGACCACGACAAATAAAGATTGTTAGATATGATGCACAGAATGGAGTTATTATCATGATACAAAAGAGCTTAAAAAGAAAAATAGCATTTGGCTGTTAACCTTGCATCATATTAGGCCCTTGGACCCATATTTCGCCCAATTTATTAGGAGGAAGAGGTTTTTGGCTCTGTGTACAGATTATTTGGGCTTCAACGGTTGAAACCAGCATGCCAGTTGAACCAGTATGTCGAACACCAATTGAAGTATTTTCCATTGAGACAATGCCACACGTTTCAGTCATTCCAAAACCCTGAAACCACAAACAGGTTAATGATGAGATTGAAACTTATCTACTACAAGCTATTCCAAAAATTCAAAAAGCCCGAATTGGAAAATTTCCTAATTTCTGATTCCAGCAACACAAAAGGACCAAATTGCAGTTACAGCGTACAAGCCTACTTCACATATACCAATAGGTCAATGGATGGCCTGTAACATCAAGGAATGATGTTTCAGCATTCATTGCTTCCCATGAATATGCCCATAACCAAAGAGGCAAAGATGAAAGACCACAGTGATTAACACAGTTGAGATATTTGTGCAATTTTTTATGCTTTTATAGGACCATATTGGCAATAGTATAACTCGTGAACTAGTCAAAATCTGTCCCAACCTAAAATCAATAATTAACAACTAAAATACCTGCATAACCACAGCCTGAGGAAATTTCTTTGCACATTCCTCCATCAACTCCTTCCCCAGAGGTGCAGCACCAGAACCGATTTGCCTCACTGAAGAAAGATCAAACTTGTTAACAACAGGCTGCTTAGCCATGGCAAGCACAATCGGAGGCACAACCCACAAATGAGTTACTCTATACTTGTCTATATTCCTCAAAAACATCCCAAAGTCAAACTTTGACATTGACACCAACGAATTCCCCTTCTGAAGCTGCCCGTACACTATAACTGCCAATCCGAACACATGGAACATTGGCAATACACACAAGAAAACCCGGTGCATATCCCCAGCAATTTCTTGATCCATGGTTACCATCAAAGCTGCTGCAATGAAATTCCTATGTGTCAAAACAACACCCTTACTGACCCCTGTCGTGCCTGAAGAGTACAGAAGGGCTGCCGTATCAGTCTGCTTAACAGAAACTGCGGGAAATTCTTTTACATCCCCCGCTAAATCGAGAAGATCATGAAAAGATATGACCTTTGGGATATTTTCACGTCAGATGGTGGTTGGTTTCCTCCAGGACCAAGCAAGATTACAGGGAGCTCGAAACCCTTAACTTTGTCGAACAACTCAGGGACAGTGACAACAAGTTTGGGATTGGAATCTTTGACTTGTTTGGAGAGTTCATGGACAGTATACATGGGGTTGGCCGTTGTAGCAATGGCGCCTATGGCGGTTACAGCGAAGAAACAAAGAGGGAACTGGATGGAATTGGGTGCAAAGATCAAGACTCGATCGGTTCTATTGACACCCAGATTGAGAAAAGCATGGGAGAGTTTGAGGACAGTGGATTTGAATTGAGAGAAGGAGAGAGTTTCATCAGTATCAGCATCGATGAGGGCCGGTTTATCAGGGTAAGAAGAGATGTTTCTGAATAGAAAAGAAACCATGGAAAGACTTCGTTCCTTGGGGAGAAGTAGAGGTGGTCTTAGAGACCTGAAAATACCGTCTCGTCCATACCCAGATTTCTCCATCTTTTTGTTTGATGTCAGCTTCAGCTAGATGATTGAAATGGGAAGCTTGGTAGCTATACAGCAGTAAAGAACGGCACAAAATAAATAGGCACCGTCACCCACGGAGGCCCAAACTTTTACTCGGTGGAAACTCCGAAGCACTATCTGACGTGCCTAAGATTACAATCATACGGCTCTCAATTTAACAAATTCAATCACAAGTACTACATTAAACAATTATCCAGGCTCTCAGCTTCACCCATATCAATTTATTCAATTATATTTTTATCAAAAGTGTATAATAAGAAAATTATAAATATAAAATGAAGAAATACGCTGAATATATCAAAAATACGTGTTAACACATATGAATAATATTGGTCCATTTTTTATATTTTAATAATCTCAGAGTAAATATAAAAATTAGATATTTAATAACATGTAATACCCAAAATCCGGCTAGTGACTAAAATGAAATTTTTGAAAGTTTTGTGTTCAATTTTGAAATAAGTTAAAGTTCTAGGATTTAAGTAAAGAATTTTGATGATGGATTAAATAGTATAGATGGATAATTAAAGGGGCAATTTAGTCTTTTCAATTTAAAGGATTTTTCCCCTTTAAATACGAGTTATATACATGGGTTTTGGGAAATTTCTAGAAACCTTCTTTTTGCTCTCTTCTTTTTCTTCTCGTAGCTCAAGCTTAAAGGTAAGTTTGATTTGTAGCTGTTAATCTCTTGAATTTATAAGTTGGTTTTGAATCTTTGGGGGTTATATAAGCTTAAGGAAAGCTTATATAAGCTTAAAACATCAAGAAGAGATAATTAGAAAGGAATTTCTATTAAGAGTTTAGAAATGAACTCTTGATATATAATGGTTTTTGAAATTCTAAGGATGAATTTGACTTGTCCTTAACTTAATTAAGAGATATGAAGTAATGGAATTGAATTTAGAACACGTAGAAAATTTAGTATGATTCTTGAATTCCATATGAAAGATAGAATTTTGAGTTTAAAGAAGTGATTATGGAGTAGAATTGAGTTTAAGTATGTATATGAAAGTTAGGAGTATTGAAGGAGAGTGAATTTCGTGCTTAAAATAGAATTTCTGGGTTATGTGCATTGATGCATCTTCAATGTGTATCGATGCACTCTCAAATAAATGAACATCGAATGCAATTAGTGCATCGATGCATAAGGAGTGCATCGATGCATCCCCTTAAGAATAAAACATCGAAGGTGATTTGTGTACCGATGCACAGGTAGTGCATCGAAGCACACGTTAAAGAATGCATCGATACACTGTAGAGTGCATCAATGCATACCTTTATTAAAAGATGAAAATAGTTTTCTTTTAGCATAATAATTGATAGTTTAGAATATATTAATTAGTATACTGATATGTATCAATATATTACTATGTAGATTCAGAACTTAAACGAGTTTCGGAATCATTGACAAGTAAGATCGATCCAGGGGAAAGATAAGAGATTGGTATTAACTAGTGAGTACATACTAGTGATATATAGTGTTGAATGAAAATAAGACTTGCGATAAGTCTATTCCCTAGAGTAATATGCATGAAGTCATGAACATGATTATGTGTTTGTCATAATTATATGTGTTATATGTGATTATATGTATTACATTAACTGTATGTATGCATGACTAAAGATATTGATATGCTTTGTACATGCTATATGATTTGTGTAAAACATTATTATGTAATAATGGAAGAACATGAAATAAGTTCTATGATAAAGACATAAAGAATGAAATGAACATGTGACATAAGCTACAAGTTAATGAATCATTGATATATATATATATATATATGAACATAAGATAACCAAGTATAAGTCATATTATATGGTATAAATGATTACACGAGAAAGGTTAAAAGACTCCATGAGGATAATATAAATTTGAGGGCATAAACATAAGTAATGATACATAAGTTATAAAGGGAAGATTTATATACTTATAGGAAACTACGGGTTATGAGTTATAAAGTGAAGAATTACAAAACTTTATGAAAGAGTATTATAGAAGTCATGGAAATTGAAATAAATAAATAAATAAAACTAGTATATAGATGATGTATGTGATTGAAAAGGGGAAGTGAGATAAGATAAGTAGAAATTAGGTATAGGATAGAATAAGACTATTTGAACTGGTAGTATAAATTTTATAAAGGAAGACTTAGGTAAACTCAGTATATGATACAATTATAGAGCATTACTATACAAATTATATTAAAGAGTATATATGAGTATATGAGTAAGTTTATAGGTTAATGATATGACATATAAGATTATATAAAAGTATGATAATATGGAAGTGAACTAAGTTTAATGATGTTGAACCCTATGAGTATAAGTTATGTGATTATAAGTAACATGATTACATGATCACAAGATATGATATGTGACATGATATATATGAAAGAGAAAGTATATGTCATATGAAATATTATATGACTATGTGATTATATGAAAAAGAATACAATTATATGTGATAAGCTCTGTGATATGTAAATCATATGAAAATGTTATACACGTAAGTGAACCATGTGTCTATATGTATATGTGATATGTGATTTATATGACAATGAGCTATGTGAAAGAACTATGAGACTATGTGTATAGGTGAATGTATGATAACATAAATATTAATGCCCATGTTGTGTGACATGAGAGCTAGAGGTATAGTTGGCATGCCAAGAGTCGAGGGTTTACGCGGTCCTTCGGGACATATATGTATTCTTTGGAACATGTGTGAGGTCTTTTGAGACACACACTTGATCATTGACATATGTATATGATTCTTAAGGAAATTTCTACGTGGTCCTTAAGGACAACCTTATATAGCACTTCGGTGCATTTCTTACGCGGCACTACGGTGCAATTCTACGTGGCACTTCGGTGTATTTATACGAGCTGTGATGACAGCATTAGTGCACAACCTCTATAGACTCACATATTTATAGTTTTCACATGTGTACATGGGCTAATAAAGAGATAATTGTGAAAACAATGTTGTAATATATGTATATGATGTGTGATATGAATTGTATGACATGATATATGTGTGATATGGTTGATTGCATCTGTTACATGATATACATGAATATATGTTGATGTATATGTGAATGAGTATAAATGACTTATACGATGATATAAGATTTTGTTATAAGATATAGAATATGAACGTAAGATATCATATGAACAAGAAATAAGAGATATGAAGTATAATAGTATAAGTGTATAATAAAAATATAAATGATGACATGTATGTGCACAAGTATGTAATTGTTATATGGAAGAAGTATATGAGTTGTATGATTTGGTAGCATAAAACAATTATGCATGATTAGTGGTTATGAATTTCATTAGATGTGTTTTTTTTATGCCTCGCTAAGTCATCGACTTAGCGTGTGAGTGTTTCACACGCAGGTTACAGAAATTTAATATAGAAGCTGAGAGGAACAAGACAGGTCAGCATATTTCTTACAAAGTTCAGATCAGAAAAGAAATGTTTAATATGTATTTTATTCTGTTAGATGTAGTTGGCATGTCATATAAACGATTTGAATTGTATATGCTCTGATAAGTGTGAAAACTTTTATTTTGAAATAATACTAAGTTTTCTTTAACGGGAATTTTTCATTATTTTGAGTAAGTAAAGGTTTAAAGTTGATGTGACACTTCGGACTCAGATTCGGGTCGGATACGGGTTGGGGTGTTACAACAAGTATCAAAAAATTTAAATTATAAGAGTAAATGAAAATAAATTTATAAATATTTTTTATTACGTTTAATAAACTATTTAATGAATATATCAAATTTCAAATAAATAATAATAAGAAAATTTATTAAAGAATAGTTACATAATAATTAAAAATTATATCATGCCAACGTTATTGTTATTTTTTAATTATGAAGATTAATACAAAAATAAAATATAACATTAAATATGATTTTAAAAAATAATAATAATTGAATGACTAAAATAGAAATAAAATATTAAATGAGTGACTAAGAAGATAATTTACTGGCTTATAATTATATGATGTAATAATTTATTTCTAAGACAATGAATTATTATTAGTTTGTTTAAAATTTAACTATAAAAATAAAGAAATCAAATTTAATATAGAAACAATACTATTCGTACATGTTTTTATAATATTTGGATAGGTCAACATCGATAAAATATTGGGCCTAGCCACTGCTTTACAGCCAACTCTTAAAATTCAAAGGTAAAGATAAAAAGTTCGAAATTAATTGATGAATTAATTATTAATGTCGAAAATGGCATCGGTTTCAATCACCACAGCCTTATCTCGGCTTTCTCTGTTTCGTCTCTCCAGAAAACCCTACTTATCACCTTCACTCTCATTTTCTTGCATCTCAAACCCCCCAAAACAAAAGGTCTCTCTCTCTCTTTCTTTCTCTGTGTGTGTGTGTGTGTGTGTTTTACCTTCTAAGACATTCATTTGTATTTCATCATTTCATTCACAAAAGTCTGAACTCTAAAACCCAGTTCTTGAAACATATTCGTTCTAGAAGTGTAATCGAAAATTTGGATTTTTGTAGAACCGAACGCATTTTAGGTTGTATTCAATGGCATCATCCGACTCTTTGGAATCAGCTGCCAATAACCCTGGGCTTCATACTACTCCAGATGAAGCTACCAAAGGCTATTTCATGCAGCAAACTGTAAGTTTTTGTTTTTATTTTTATTTGGGTGTGTGTTTTTAAGGGATTTATGTTAGTAGTTTTCTGGGTTGCAGATGTTTCGAATTAAGGATCCAAAAGTCAGTCTTGATTTTTACTCCCGTGTATTGGGCATGTCGTAAGTTATATTTCAATTCCCTCTCTCTTTTTTAATATAATTTGTTGTAAAGTTTATTGGTTATTAGTTCTTATTTGTTTATCCATTTTGATTAATTAGTTATTTATTAAGAAACCGGGGCTTTTCCTTTCTTGGTTTACCAAGTGTCTGCGGTGTTTTAGTATAACCACCGGAATTCTGCCTTGGCTGACTAATCTATGTCGAATACTACATAGATCATTTATGAGGTGACCTTCCATCTTGGTTCCATTCACAAGATCAATATGAGAGCTCTACCTTGTTTAAGAGACCTAGCCACCTAGGCCTCATCCTGATATTTAAATGAATCAAAA